GTAAACACCCACAGGAGGGACACTGAACCACAAGGACACAGTCAGTCTCTAGGAAGCACAGTGGCATGCAGAAAGCTCCAGAGAGGAGTGACACGTGACTGGAGAAGCAGACATCATTCCCCATGGGTTTCCTGATGTGCCCTTGGATACACAAGGAACTGAGCAAGCCACTCAAAGCTATCACTGCAATAGCAATGACTTCAGCACACCCAGCACTTACAGGAGAACATCCAAGATATTCTAAATGAACTCCCAATTAGCTTGTCCGGTTCTTGCCATTAGGGCAGGGAGCCTTTCCCTGAATAATTGTCTATAGCTGAAATTATCTCTGAGATGTCCTAGGAAGGGATCTGATATTTTTCTTCAAATGCTTGTAACACAGAAAGGAAAGTGGAACCTCTAGAGAAGCAGGCTCCACTTTAATTTCTGGATGTCCAGAGAGAAAGAAACAATACTGCTGACTCTGCTCCTATGGTGGATAACATGTAAAATGGTTGTTTTGCTCTCTGGGGAAGAGAAAAGAAGTGGGTTTGCACAAAAACATCAGAGGCCAGTACAGGTACAGAGCAAAATGATGGTTCGGGCATTAAAGAAGTTCATTGAGCTTTTCATGAAGAAAAATTCAGTTGCCCACAAAAGGCACAGCTTCTTTGCAGGGAAAAAAAGGCTTGGGACAAGCAAAAGGTTGGGACAATGACAATTTTTACATAAATCAAAAAAAAAAAATTAACAGTAAACTATCGTACATTAAATAAAGTAACTCCACCCCTAAACGCTGTGTACCAAACATACTAAAATTGCAATACAAACTAAATTCCAAAGCAGCAAAATAATACACCACTATAAACATTACCAATGCATTTTTCTCCATTCCTCTAACAACAAAATACAAGCCTCAATTTACTTTCACCTAAAAAAGCGTACAATACACCTAAAACCAACTACCCCAAAAATAAAAACACAACCCCACCATCTGCCATAAACTAATCCAAACTACACTAAAAAAAAGTAAAACTCCAAAACACCTACAATATATTAATAATATCATTGTGCAAACAAGGACAACAGCAAAAGTGTTAAAAAAAAAAATTATCCAAATTCTCCTAAAAACTAGCTTCGCCATCAAAAAAAACAAAGTCAAAAAACCTGCTCAAAAAATCCAGTTTCTAAAAGTAAAATAGCAAAACAAACAGCGTCAAATTCCCACCAATGTCATCAACAAAATCACAACAATATCTCCACCATCCAACAAAAAAACCCATAAACTTTCCTAAGCGCCATAAGATTTTTAAAAATACATATTCCCAAACACAATCAAATTGTAAACCCTCTCTACCTAATCACCCATACAAAAAACACTTTCCACTAAAAGCCTAAGCAACAACATATAGGCATATAGGTGGATACAGGCAATGGCAAGAGAAAAAAATCTTGTTATTTAAAAATACCACTTGTGCATCTTTTTCTTTCGTAAGGCAAGGACATCTTAATCCAGAGCAACAGCCCAGGTCACATCAAGGTGAATTTCCAGTAGGATGCTATGGCTTACAGAACAAGTCATGAATATTTGATGTGCCCTTTAAATATCTTAGTATCATCTCTTCAAAAGAATTATCCTTGCACAGACCAATGAATCCTGCATGGATTCACTGCTCTCCCCTGTTTCATTAACTCTCAGTTTAAGAAGCATAAAAACAACTTTGATCTAAGCATCTTTTCCCATTTAATCTCCACAACGGAAACCTAACATTTTACAGGTGTCATTAATCCTGTTTTGACGCAAATTGATGGATTAGCAAATCACAATCACTTCAAGATCCTTTATTTTTCCTTACTTCATGATGCAACCTGGCTTTGCTAGCATCAGTTCCCACAAAAGACTTCTCTCCCATGTATTTATGTTTATATTCACTGAGGCAGCAGATAAATAAAAAATCCCTTAATAACTGGCTCCCTCTCAATACTCTTTGCAGGAGTATTTCACCCACCTCACCAAGGGGCACCCAAGCAGCCAAACCCCAAACATCCAAAAGTCATGAGGGTCTAATTACCAGCAGATAAGAGCACTGGACTCCATCAGAAGATAGACTGTGAGGTTATAAAGTTTATGACTTTTAATGGTGGCCATAGGAACACAGAAATCCCACCTACTCTGTATAAGTAAACCTTTACATATAAAAGATTAAAAATAAAACTTATATTGCTTCAGTGAATACCAAAATGCTTCAGGAAAATCCAGGAGTTTCAAAGCAGAATGAAACAATTAAATGAAAGCAGAGAAGAAAGGAAGCATATGACTGACACATGGGGCTACAGAATCCAGTAAAATTTGTAGGGTCTAAGGATCTCCCTGAAGAGGATAATGCAATTTGTAAGAGAGATTCTAACTAAGAATAAAAAGCTCTTGCACAACCTGTGGCTTACTTATGCAATCTGCATTTACAGTACATTTACAGAGTTTTCTCTCTCCATGTTCCAAGAAACCAGCCTTTTAGTCTTGTCTCTGCAGCACGAACCATACAGAGGCTTTTCCCCCCTCTTTGAAGTCACAGGTAACATAATTTGCTCTCAGCTGCTACTGTAAAATCTAACAGATCATTATGCTGCCCACTGAACTGCTATGTTAAAATGGCTAATTGAAGATACTGAAGAAAGACTGTTGACACCCCTGGAGATCCACCAGCAGCAGGATATCTGGTATCAGCCAAGAAACAGGTGTCTCAGTTTCATATCTTCCCATCAACACACATTTTCAAGCACAAAACACATTACAGACTTACCACAAGGTTGAAAAGTATTGTCTTCTGTTTCCAGCCATATCTATGCTAATGAAAAACTCTATATTTACATGAATTTTTTGTTAAATATTAATGGAAGTGAGAAGAGCTAGCACACTATAAATGCATCTTTATGTTTTTTACACATGAAATATAGATTCCAAGAGAAAAACTCAGATCTTTAATCTAAATATCTTTCTATTTACAGACAGTGCAGGCTTTCACCTTCCTTCAGTAGCAAGGTCAAGCTCTGAAAATAGAGAATGGAAATGTCGCTGTGGTGAGGAAGAGGAAGCCTAGTCCATTTTTATGGAGTGTGTTTACAGACATAAATCCCAGACCACTGATGATGACACTCCTTTGATTACTACTTTGCATTTACATTAATAAAAAGCATAAAATACATAGAAAATTTTATAGGGCATAGAAAATTTTAAAGGATCAGATCAAATGTCCCTAATAATTTGAATGCTGTTTTGACTGAGGGTCTTTGGTGGTGGTTAAATACACCCTATTCTGACCCAGAATTACAACCCACTGTTTGAAGACATGAAATCCCAAAGACAGCCTGACAGCAAGGAAGCCAGAATACTGCTTTTATTCCAGGGAAAGGAGGAAATGGTCTGCAAAGTAGGTTCTTCCAGTTGTTTGATGTGCAAAGTGATAAAAAATTAAGACACTTTTTATTGCTTTACTTCCAGTGGCGCAAGGACTGAGCTGGATGTCCTTACTGGTTCTTTCTAGTTTGCTTACAGCAACTTCCCCAAAGAAGGCAAAGTGACAAGTTCCCTAGGCAATCCAAAATGAGACCTGCATATAAACAAGTTTGAGGCTTCTGACTCATGAATGATTAAGATGAAAAATACTGTGGAAGCAGTGGGGAAAAACAACTGAGCCATTTTCTTAAAAGGAAGTAATTAGATGAAGGATGTTTCTGGCCTTACAGCCAATACAACCCAACTGCTTCCTTACAAAAAAAGCTTGTGCTAGCAGAGAGGAACAGAAAATGTGATCAAACAGAGTACTGAGGGTAACAGCCCTCTCTTGTATGACCCTTCTCAAATTAGTCAAAACTACTGTGGGGAACTTCCTCAGTCAAAAAGCTGTGTTACATATTACCCCAGCAGAGGTGAAACAAGGTACCAGGGGGTGGTGTTCATCAAAGGGTACCACTTGTTGCCAGCCTGGATTCCAACGCACAATTCTCAGTCACAAGACAAGTGGAAGTTGCTATTGATTTGTTCTGACTGCTTTGGAAGTGCGAGCGCTTTCTGCTCCTCTCATCTTTCACATCATTAATTATCTTGAAAAGAGAGCATGGTGTACAGACAAGGCTTGTTATGGAGAAAACTGTGTGACTGAACACGAGGTCACAGAGCAGAACGTGACTGCAGAACCACAGGATTAGCACAGGCAGATTACTCTGCCTTTATTAATGCTTCTGAAGGTATAGTCTGTAACAAGAATTTCTGACACACATAGGTTCTCTTTGGTTGTAAAAGTAAAGTAACCTTTCAGGCATTTTATCTTTCTTTTTACTGAATACATCCTTTGTGAAAAACCTGGATCACAAATTTTTTGATTTACACTCTTGGGCAAGAGAAAGACAAGAATACTGAATTTCTCACTATCCTAACCAACAACTGGCCAACAAACTCACTTATGCAGGCGCACACAGATCCACAAATTTATGTTCCAGTACTGCAACAGGTTCTCAAAATTGCAACAAAAAGAGCCCTGGCAGAACATAGAGCAGCCAGGACAGGTTCTAGCAAATTCTAGTTCCAGGATGAGGTATGATGGGTGGTGCACTTTAGCTGTCAGATTTGGTTAGCAGAAACTCTCCAAAGAAAAACTCAGCCTTCTGGGGAAAACAAGGTCAGTGATTCAAGACTCAGTACATTTCTTCTTATTCAGTCCCAGCCACAGCCTTGAAATGAAGTGATAAAGACGAGTTCCTTTCAGCCTCAGTGCCCACATTTCAGAAGGATGGATCTATCTAATGCAGTATCAAATACCCAGGAGAATAAATAAAACACTATGGGATTCTTAACTTCAACTATCATTAGACTGCTTCCCTTCTTTTTTTTTTTCCCTCTAAACTGGAATGCTCTGAAACTGTGTTTACACATGCTAGTTAAGGATGCCAGGTGCTCCCCAGGGTCTCACATTCCTTTGTTTTTAGAATACCCCAGCTCCTCTCAGCACAGCTTCCCCGTTTACCTTCTGTCGCTGCTGAATGTTGCTCACTGTGTCTGGCTGAAACTCCAGCTTGTCTGTCCTGCAGAGTTTCCAGTATAAAATAATCACAATCAGGAGCACCACAGCAACTGGGACTGCCACCCCAACGATAATCCAGAGGTTGCTGTTCTGAGTCTCTGACGTGGGCTCCTTCAGCCTCTCCACAGCTGGAAAGTGAAAAGGAACACAGCAATATTACGAGGTTATGTTTCCAACTGAGGACACTTCAAGGTTATATATTTTTATGTTCTTGTAAATGCTAATTAAGGAGTTTATCAGAAACCAGCTGCACATCACAGGAAATGCCACACCACTGTAAGTTAAGGGCTCAGGAAGTATGGGGCAGGAGATCAATTGTCCTGGCCCACCTTTTAAAGAGCTGTACTTAAAATACTGATGAAAATGGCTCTTCTGCCACATCATCCTGTAACCCAAATCTAAGCTGACATAGTGAAATGGGTCTAAAAAAATTGTTCTACCACTAGCAAAGGTAAGATAGACTTTCCAATATTGCTGCCTGTTTCCTGCTTTAGGCAGTATTACCAGCTGCCTCTTCTCTTTAACATTCTGTTATCAAAACCAATTTGAACCTCCTCCACAAGGTTTATAGTTCTGCATTGTTGATTACTTTTTTTCTTCTCTGTGTTTTATTGTCAGTGTGTGAGATCCTTTAGCCCCAAGCAGAAAACAAAACTGCTGGGAAGTGTAATCAAACAAGTTATTCTTGCAAAAGATAAACTGAAATAAATGACAAAACTTTTATTTGTTAATTTTGCACAGTGGTTAATCATGGGACTAAGAATCATAGTAATAATATATTTCTAATCAAATTGATGTACTTTCTAAAAACTATGTTTTCAAGTTAAGAAGAGTACTTCTATTTTTTTTCTAGATATCATTTCATTAGTAATCATTCCAATGATGAGCCTAGAACTTAAAGGAACATAGAATTTTTATATTTTATACATCTAACTGCTCATTTCTTGCATTATGTTTTCTGTTATAAAACTAGTATTTCTTTGGTGTAGTTTCTTCCAAGAGAAGCACTTAAAGATTTTTATGACTATGACTCTTAGAAGAACTTTTGAATGACAGGTCAAAGATAACAAGTTTCAACATGCACTTTAAGCTATGAACACTTTATGAACTTTGTTCAACATTTATCATTTTTGTAAAGAGAATTTATTCTTGCAACGTTTTTCACTTTCATCTAACCAGCATTACAGTCCATTTATGGATATTGAGGAGATGCGTATGAGCTACTGACCTATCTGTACACAACTGTTTTAATGAGGGACAAAATTTAGAAACACATACAGATGGTACAATTGTTACTATTTTCTTTCTTTTCTTTCTGCAGAGAATTTTAAATCTCAGACACATGCTTGTTCTGTTGGCAAAATATCCTCTGGTAGCATGTAACTCATGCCTCCATATTGCACAGAAATGAGAAAAGGTGATTAAACATTCATACCAATGAGGTATTTTGCAGACCATACTTGTCTCTTCCTCAGATACAATTAGGAAAGAAACTTAAAGGCAACACAGAATTTTGAGTAGGTATTCTGTCTCGCTACTAACTGAAAATGGGTTTAATTATTTATATACCAAGCCTCCTGAATAAAGTAATTATATGAGTTTACATGACCTATCCTATTTATTCTGATGGGTATCCAGTAAAAAAAAAATCACATTACTTTTATATTATATTCATTAAAAGATCATATTACTTATATATTGCTGATGGACAAACAAGTAAAACCAAGGTCAATAATATTCCACAGAAGAAATAAATGCCTCAACTACCCTTAGTGTACATCTTTCACAGAAAAAATAATTCAGACAACAAAGCAGTAACTGGTGTTAGAATAACTGCTAAAGGAAACACTCAACTAGAATACACTCAACTAAAGGAAACACCCATTTCATACCCATGCACTCCCAGCTGTGGGGTTTGTGCAAGCTCCTGGACAAGACAAACTGTAAAGAAACACTGGCCTAGCAGGATGACATGGAAATGGCAGGAAGGTCTTCAGTCAGCACTGTGCTTTTCCAGCACAAGCATGCAGTGATTGCAGTGAGGCTGGACTCAAGGGCCCTGCTGCAACCCTTAGCTCAGAGAGGCAAAACAGCACTGCACAGCTCACTGCAAGGCTGCTAAAATTCATTTCCTCAGCTGTGCCAAAGCTGCAGCACCCCAAAAACAAAGCACTGCAACAGTGGGCACCATGCAGTGCCATAACCTGCCCAGGTAAAGCCACCCCTCCTGTTTGCCTTTGCTGGCAGTGGTGTGGGGGTGGGACAGGGCTTGGCAGTGGTGTAGGGATGGAACAGGGCTTGGCAGTGGAGGGGATGGCACAGGGCTTGGCAGTGGTGTGGCGATGGCACAGGGCTTGGCAGTGGTGGGGATGGAATAGGGCGCTTGGCAATGGTGTGGGAATGGCACAGGGCTTCGCAGAGGTGTGGATGGGACAGGGCTTGGCAGTACTGTGGGGATGGCACAGGGCTGTGCAGTGGTGTGGATACACAGGGCTTGGCAGTGGTGTGGGGATGGCACAGGGCTGTGCAGTGGTGTGGGAATGGCACAGGGCTTGGCAGAGGTGTGGATGACACAGGGCTTGGCAGTGGTGTGGGGATGGCACAGGGCTCGACAGTGGCATGGATGGGAGGGACAGAGCTGTGGATGACACAGGGCTTACGCTGTGCAACGCTGCCCTCGATGCGGTACCCAAGGATGATGGCAGCCCGCTGGATGTCCACTCTGTTCATCAGGTCTGAGCACTTCAGAGCACTCAGCCTCTCCCCATCCTGGTCCTCCACGAAGTAGATCAGCTCCACAGGGTTATCAACACCAACTAAGCGTGACACGTTCACAATCTGGAAAGAAATTGCAAAGCTGTTACATTTTAAATTGTATTTATTTGGAGCTCCCTTACATTTTGTCTTAAGAGTTCATCTCTCTCTTCTGTTGTAACTGAAAGGAAAATTTCCAGAGAAGTTATATTTTAATTTCAAGATCCCTTATAAAATACATTTTTATGGCTAACCTTTCCTTTTTTCCCCCCTACTTGTATCATAAAAATGTACACATCTGGTAAGTAAGAGAACTGCTGTCACTCTAAAGATGCCAACACTGTGCCACCCTGGAAGCCTCTACTGCCTTTAGCAATGGTTGATTAGAAGAAGTGTGACTGCATTTTTCTCTTCTCTAAATGCCTACTCTAACTTTGATTTGTTATTCATAACACACACACCTCTTTGCTCCAGTTTTTCTAAATGTTAAGCAGCTACACAGGTGAATATTCTGTTAGCATCAAATAAAACTGTTTGCTCTGTTTCAACTTAAGCACTTGCACAATCACCTTCATCCTGCACACAGCTCCCCTTGGCATCCACCCTTCTTCAGGAAGGAATGTATTGAAAGCTGTGGGAAGGAATTCTTCCTACCTACATCTAAAGACATTAATAACCAAAAGAATGCATGCTATGAGGAAGCCCTGTAGATACTCTCTAACCATCAAACATCTACAATGCATATGAGACTTTGAATTCCTGTAAAATTACATCTTTTTATATAACAACTCTCCTCTGTTTAACCATTTACCATGTAATGGTGAGTCAAACTAGAATCAGGACAATAAACAGTAGGAGGTATTCTGTCATGACTTTTTTTAAAGAGATTGAAGGGCTCTGGAAGGAATTGATATAAATAGAGTGAAGTATTTTGCTTCCTTCAGAATTATCCTTCTGCTATAAAGTACATATTTAATAAATGATAATCTCAGAAACTGCCCATAGGCCTAAAGTAAAGCAAACACAAAAATGTTTGCATGTGAGGCTTACAAAAGCAAATCTTTATATTGTTTTCTTTCCTAGCTTCCAACTAGACAAATAATGTTGAAAGAAAGAAGTACAATTTTTAGCTCAACAGGAATGATGTTCTGGTTTAGGAATGGTAACAGCAAGATGTGTGTATATATATATATATATATATACACACACACACACACATATATATATATAGGAGAAAAATGAAACAAGAAAGCACAATTGTTATAAAAATCCTCTAGGACAAATCAAATGAAAGCAAAAAGTAATGTTCAGTGTCAGCCATATTTGATGCAAGAAACAGAATATCTACAAATAAAGCAGAAAAATGTGCAGATCTCTGAAACACAGCAAGAGCTGCCAACAGGACCCATTAAATGATGCTGCTGCTCACCTGAACACCATTCCCTCTTCTACCAGCTAAGGGAAAACAAATCCCTGAGTGAAGGTAACAAAACAGCATCAATAAATGAGGTTTCAACCAGCACATTTGACAGCTGTAAAGCTAAATCTGGCTTTGTCGACTTCAAATATACAATTGGTTAACAAATGCCCACAGCTTCATATTATATTACATCTGCTTCAGGGGTGTTGCCACAGCCTGGTCTCAGTGCACAGAGCAGCAGAGTACAGATGAAACCTTCCCAAGCAGTACCTAACTCACATGGAGTGAAAATCAATGGGTTCTTAGTTTTAATTTTATGAAGCCTCTCTGTGCATAGCCAGAGAATCACAGAAAATGAGAAAATACTTTAACTGAGCTGTCATATATTTCACAGCCTGTGAAGAATCCAAGGAGTGTAACCATGTGTGTTACACATATCATGGTAACCATGCTGCCTGTGTGGGTTAACAAAGGAACTTCTCCACAGGTGCCTTTAGAAAAGGCAGAGGGTAAGAAGGACAAGACTTCAGTGCAAGTTGTCACAATGGAAACTGGACAAATTTTAACACAGAATTAAACAACAGCATTTGGCTCCCTATGCTGAGAAACAGGGATGAGTGAGAACAGTGAGAGTGGAGACAGGAAGAAGTAGCTGGAGGTAGTTCAGCACAGTACAAAGAACAGGGGAACAAGCACAAAAAAGTTCAGTGGACGTGCAGGATAGTGCTGATAAACTAAGGGCACTATTTTAAGGTAAATTTTATCTGAAATAATTTCTTCTGAAGAAAATATTTTCTGACTGCTCACACCACACAGAGAAAGAAACTTCACAGAGAGAAGCTGCAGACAAAATTTCAAAAGCATGGGGAGATGGATTTCTAGTCTGGGAAAGCTGGTGACTAGCAGGGTAGTCTGGAAGCAGATACAAGACAGATTTGTACATAAACCCAGTACCTGTGACAACAGCAGTACCTCAGTTTTCATCTAGATTTTACTTATTGATTTTTGCAACTAGCCTCTGAGTTTGCTGAAACACAGGAAATGGCACACTGGGTCTGAACTCTTAAATTTGGTCATGGTTTTGAGGCACACAGTCACTATGCCTGTTACAGACTTTCTGGATTCTAAGTTTTGTGACACATGGTTCCAAATTATACTCTTTGTGCAGCTTCAGACTGCTTTAGTCTCTGTCCTTGAGAATGATAAGAATGCAAGCAGGGACAAACAGTATTTGCCAGGCATCCAGCAAAGCAGCCCACATGTAAAGAAGCACTTAAGCACTTTACATTTATACTTTGGCAGTGAGAGATGACATAGGGAGAGAAGAGATAGAAGAATTTTAAATTAAATTAAATTAATTTAAATTAAATTAAATTAATTTCTGCAGGAGGCAGAAAGTTGGGGGGAAAAAAAAGAAGAAAAGACTAATTCAACTCCTGTGTACATAAATGATACCATCTTTGTTGATACTAGATGTGCATTTAACCTCCACAGAGGAAAGGCTTAACTGTGTTCAGGTGTCAGTAAATTTAATTTAAAAAGTGTTTTCAAGTGAATATCATAGCTCAGTGAACAGAGTTGCCTTGGTAACAAAATCTAGTTGGTAATTTCAGGCACGGAAATACAAGTGTGGGGAAGCTTCCAAGGCATTCTGAGTCCTGGGCAGCCAGTGGGATGTCCTGGTCAGGAATGCAGGAAGGAGCAAGGAAGCCCTGGTGAGCTGTTTCAGGGTCTGGAAGGCTGAGTACTACTGAGAAACAAGCAGATGTGCACATACAACCTCCAGTGCTCGTGCAGGAGGATTATTTCCCTTTCCTTCCTTCATCATACTGGGAAAAAAATAAACAAAAAAGATCCTCTTTCTGTCTTATTAAGAGTACGATTCTAGTGTCTGGGCACTTAATTCAAGCTGTACTGTGGTCAGCACACAGAGGTACAAGCAGGCTGTGAGCATTCTGACAGGAGGGATCAGCTGCTGCCTGGGCCGGCTGCTGGAGGGGCCAAAAGCCTCAGAGGAAAAGCTGAAGCAGCAGCAGTGCCCAAAGGCTTCACTTATAAACCTAAAAACTCATAGCAAGACTTCATTTATAAACCTAAAATCTCACAGCAAGACAGGCTTTGCTCAGCCAGGAGAGACACACAAGCTGTCAGCAGAAAAACATGAGAATGAATTTTTGCCTTAATGAAAACCTCAATTCAGTCACTGCATTCTCTCATAAACTGCTACTCCTCACACACACGGCAAATAAAATGCTGCCTAGCATGTTCTTTAAATCAGAACATTCCTCTTTGTTTCATTTACTAGGATCAGCTTTTCACTTTCTATTAGGTTCAAAGGACCAAGCATGTTGAAATAAAAGAAAAATAAATTGTTTTTATTACCTGCTGCTGTGTTTTTAAACTACAATTAAGCCCTCTAATTCCTAAAAAATGTAATGAGAATTATTACAGTTAACTATAATATAATAAAATATATAATGTAGATATTAAAACATAAATATGACACAGGTCTCTGCAGATGCAATGCAAGCCACAGTAAGCACGTGCCTTCAAATTTGCAGCAACAGAGGATGCACATTGAAAATGTGCAAGACCTACTCTGTGAAATATTAATACAACGTAACACAAAAATCAGTGGAACTATCAGAAGTACCACAACCAGGTGTGAGGCTTCAGAGGGGTTTTTGTACATAATGCTTACTGACTTTTTTCTCTTTTTATCCTGGAGTGCCACCTGTTAACAGCACAGACAGTGAAGCAGGAGGGGAAAGCCTGCTATTTGGGTACCCTCCAAAGCTCTTCTTCAGAGTGCCCAGGCTTAAAGCATCATTTTTCACATTCTTAGGCACTAACACATGCCTTCAGAAATGAAATCTAAACCGCAAAAGGTATCACTTCTATTTCCTGAGCACGTGAAAGGAAACTAATATGCCTGCAGTAACATTCACAAATAATTGCTTCACCTCTTGACCTGCAGTCTTGATTTTCCACAGAGCTTAGAAATGTCACATTTCAATACACTATAAATATATTTCACCTCAGGAAAAACTCCAGTCTAAAGAGTCACAAGGCAAGTGAAATGTGAATCTAGTCTTTAATGGATATATAAACATATTCTGTTAAAACTGTGCAACACTTGTGGTGCTGGCAGCTTCTTTTCTTCTTTTCACTTGATTGTGCTCTACTATCATAGCAGTCACTGATTTGTGTGCAAGAAATATACATGGGAAAATCTGAATGTAAAGCACAAGAACCATTATTAGCTCTCCCAGAAGATACAAACACAGCTTATAAACTTGGCTAAGAGGAACAGAATTAACAGCAGTAAAAGGTTTATGGCAGATGCCTACGGACAAGATCCTCAGCTAACAGGGAAAGGAACGATCCTTCAGTCTGGAGCTCACCATCACTGCAGCTGCACACCACAGCCTGCTGTTCTGAGCACACCCAGCACACACACTTCACTGCAAGGTTTCTCTTGAGCCTCCCTCTGTCCCAATCTCCTTTGTTCAGCTCCAACCCTACCTGGAAGGGCAGGCTGGGAGCACCTGGAGAAGCCCTGTGATGGTAGGATGTGCTGACTGTAATGAATAGAACCCTCTTCTGCCCAAAGCCAGCAGTTGGCAGGCTCTTGGCACTAATTAAGTGGCATAAATGAGCAGCACTGCTGTCTGGAACACGAGCTGCAGATCTCATCTTCTGTCCCAGTACATAACACAAAGTCAAAAGAAAAATGCTGCATTTTTACTTTCAAAAATACCACTCCTTATCTAAAAAGGATGTGCCCATAATTTTGTGCATGAGCAAAAATAAACTACCTGAGCTTTACTGAGCAAAGCCATAAAATTGTAATCTAAACATACACGTTTTATAGGCTGTGGTATCTTCACTAGCAACATAAGGAATATTTGTTTAATTTATATGCAAAAGGAGGACAAAGGCATAACGAACAAAGTGCAATAAGAGGTGCTGGGAATAGGAGATTTGAAGCAGACACCTATTAGCAGCAATTCAAAGCTGTACAGAAGAAAAATAAAATAAAATCTCTATTACTGAAACAGATGTTTCTGAGACAGAAAAGCAGAAGTAAAAATATCCCAACATCTGGAAATTTAAGTGGTAGGAAAAACCATAGGATTAAATTAAATAAAGACAATAGGTCTGAAATGCAAAAAGGGCATCTGGGAGGTAAACCAACTGTCAATGAATTAGCTGGAAATGGTAATTTTTAAGAAGATGAGCCATTAAAAAAGTACTTTGGCTTTCAGACTGTTGAACTGACTAAAAAGAACACATCAGAATTTAAAACTTTAAATTAAATAGCAAAGTCTTCTTGGACTTAATGTGAATAAATCCACCTGTGACTTCTAAAACTCTAAAGCAGCACTGGAATTCAGATATCAGAAGTTGCTATGTGTGCAAAATTTGGTATGAATAATCATTTTTACCTGAAATCCAACCCTGTGACCACGAGTACTGTGACAAGTAAGAAGTTAAGGGGTAGAATGTACTACTCTACTGCTGCACCAAGCCACACAACTCTATTTTGTATTTCAACACCACTGCCAAAACATCAGAGAGCTGTGAAGTAGCTGTCCCAGGAGATAAACGTTTTTCAGATGATCATCCTGTCTCCTTTTGCTAGGCACATCATGAAAGCCAAACAAGATAGAACATTTTTAAAATAAGACATTGGTAAAACAATTTTCACTGTTGTTTCCATGAAGCCATCAGAAATTTTTAGTAATCACTTATTTGCATTTGTTATGTTTAGCTTAAAAGACATATGTGGTGCTTGAAAGAAGTCCCATATTTTAGATGCAAAACACAAGTATCACCAACTAGCTAAAGGTGACTCACGCTTTTGAGTTACATTTCTCAATTCAAAACCTGACTCACGCTAACTAATTCAGTAATTTATTATGCTTTATTTTTCACCCTCTTAGTACCTGCACAACATTGGTGCCTGCAAAGCTGGCCCGCCTCCAGATCCTGCCTCTGAGCAAAGCCTCGTTGAAGAGGTGAGCAAGTTTCCGCTCCATCTCAGCCCGGAACACTTCCTCCTGAACCCGCTGGTCAACCACACCCAGGAGAACTGCACGGCACAGAAAACAGCCCAAGAAAGCACATTCATTAGTAAAACCTCTCAGTTTCTTCTCCACAACTTCAATTACAAGCTCTGAGTTGCCTTGGGAGAGCTCAGGGATAATTCGAGAGCGCCTGTATTTAAATCAGAATTCCGACCTGTTGGAGTTACTTGTTGGAAAGGGACACATTTGGTTAACTTGGGGGGGAAAAGAATTCAGGCAGAGGATTTTTTTGGAATTTGAACCAGGCTACACAGACCCAGGATAATAAGGAAACTATTTCAATTCAAAAAAAATTAATAAAATCATGAGTGTCCAATGAATTTTTGAGAACTGCTAAAAGAGAAAACTCAGTCTAAATTGTCTGCTTCAATTAATTGCAGTCAACAGTGTTGTGTTCAGAAGTGATACCAAGTTGGAGATGAGGAGGGCAAGGTTCTTGGAGAAAAAGTAGAACAGCAGCACATGAATGAAGCTGTGTATTCAAGTGCAACTTCCCCAGATAAGATTAACAAGTATGCCAATCACAGCACAAAAAAAAACAGGTACCCTAGCTCAATGGGGCAGCTAATGCTGAGAGGAATTCCTGAAGGAAGATGAAAAAAAGCATGGCCTTTTACTAGCAAGATGGCATCCAGTTAGAGAAACGTGGAGTGAATCTTTTTTCCCCTCAAAATAAATAATTTGAAGGGGAAAAAAAATTCAGGCAGAGGACCTTTTTGGAAACCATAACCAGCCTTAACCAGGATAGACAGACCCAGGAAAATAAGGCAATTATTTCAATTCTAAAAATGCATAAGATCATGAGCATCCAATGAATTTTTAAAAACTGCTAAAAGAGAAAACTTAGAATCGTCTGTTTCAACTAATTGCAGTCAAAAGTGTTGTGTTGGAGATGTACCAACACTTGTGTGCCAACTTGGAGCTGGGGAGGGCAAGGGTACCCTGGGCAGCTAATGATGAGAGGAATCCCTAAAGGAAGATGAAAAAAAGGGTGGACTTTTACTAGCAAGATGGCATCCAGTTACAGAAATGTGGAGTGATTTTTTCCCCCCCAAAAATAAGTAATTTGGGGGGGGAAAAATTCAGCCAGAGGATTTTTTTGGAACTTGAACCAGGCTAGACAGACCCAGGATAATAAGGAAACTATTTCAATTCTAAAAATGCATAAAATTATGAGCATCCAATGAATTTTTAAAAACTGCTAAAAGAGAAAACTTAGTCTAAATTGTCTGCTTCAACTAATTGCAGTCAAAAGTGTTGTGCTAGAGATGAACCAACACTTGTGTACCGAGCTGGAGATGGGGAGGGCAAGGGTTCAGAGTCCTGGAGAAAAAGCAGAACAGCAGCACATGAATGAAGCTGTGTACTCAAGTGCAACTTGCCCAGATAAGATTAACAAATATGCCAATCACAGCACAAAAAAATGGTTTGCTCACTTGGCAACCAGGTACCCTGGGTCACTGGGGCAGCTAATGCTGAGAGGAATCCCTGAAGGAAGATGAATAAAAAAAGGGTGGACTTTTACTAGCAAGATGGCATCCAGTTGGAAAAATGTGGAGTGAAAGAAGCAGTAGTCATTCAACTGATCCAACTGAACAATCCTCCAGGACAGCAAACCAGCTCACTGCTGACTGCATCAAATAAATTCAGTTTTAATTCTACTCCACTAAAAATACATACATTTTTAAAAATCCGCTTTTTCTGTGTTTACACATTTATTTTTTAAGACTAGAGCTTAATAAAAAGCCACCAGTTAGATAAAATCAATTAAATATAATTTTAATTTTTAAAATTTTTAAAACAAATCTATTAAAGTCACTTTTTCAATTTGAAGCTTTCACTGCAGATATCAGAAAAAGGAAACATTTTCATGATTTCTCACTGAGATCAACAGTGTCTGTCTTCTAAATTCAATCACAGACTAAGTACCTCAGAATTAAATAGCAAAACAGACAGTGACATAAGGCTATTATATACACCAAGCAGAAAACTGTTCTTGCCTGTGTATTGGATTTCAGTATCAATAAATTATGTTTAAGAGCATGAATTGTATTCTACAACAGAGGGAGAACACTGTATATCCCAGCTTTTTATGACTAGTAGGATACATGCACATATATCTGGGTAATTTGATATTAAAAAAATCTTTACATGCATAGATTCTATCATTTTCCCATGTCATGATTCATTACCCTTAAAACACAAAACACTGACTGAAAGCAATGACTCAGTCAAAGTCTACCAGCTCTTCCCAGAATCCTGCAAGAACTGAGACTACAAAAAATTCCTCTGCAGAAAAAGAAAAAAAAAAAAAAAGTTGCTGCAATTGGCTTTCAAAATCTCACAGGCAGAAGTTTATCAAAACCCAAGGGAATGTGATTTCAGAGCTGGAAGAACCCATTTTTTACTGCAGGAGCTAATGGAATTTTCAGCAGCAATGGACAAATCTAAGGCTGAGCAAGAGAGGGAGCAGGTGGAGCCAAAAAGGCCAACACAAATCTCTGAGGAAGGATACCACTGGTTATGAGACACATAGGAGCTTCTCCCACATCACTGAGCATTATCTGAAATTCTCAATCTTTCTTCTCTGAAACAAACCATGTGGGCATCAGAAACTGAGGTGCAATTTGGTTTCCTGCTTAAAGAGTCAAGTGGTGACTGGTGGGAGTAGACAGGGAAACCTGGAAAAAAGAGCAAGTCTATACAACAGGTGAACTAGAGGTGATAAAAGGAAGATAGAAGTGTAACCAGTGGGGCACCTGCACCCTGAGAACAAGTTTGGAAGGCAAAGCCTCCTCACCAGTCAGGCTTAATAACACCAGGTAAGACCTTCCTAAGCGGGAAGACAACCTCAACATCCTCTGAGCACCTAAATGTGACAGCTCAAGCACATCTGTAAATTACAGAACACTCAGAAGACTTTGGTGGGAGGGATCTTCTGTTCTGATCAATGAAATGTGATGGAACTCTTTTAGGTACTCAGAACTCATCTATTTTCACTCTGTTTTATTCTGGGCATGTTTTGGTAGAAAGTGTCACACAAATAAAATTTTAATTTTCACTTAAAATAGGCACCTAAAAATCAATGTGGCATATTGACAACATGCAGAGTAGATACTTTATGCCTGACAGTCTGAGCTGTTTCACTAAGAATGAACTGCCTTATAGACAAAAAGTGCTTTGTGTGCATTATCAAGGAATTTCAGTAGTTAATTCCAGACCAGGGATTTATATTTCCCAGATATTCCAGGTCACTGGGCCTTTGGTTTTAGAATTTATTCAGCTCAGACATGTTATTACCTCATAAAAATGCAGCACCCCTAAGCTATTGATATTTATGCAGGCTAGTTATCCCACTACCAAAACTAATTGCACTTTTACTTACTCACAGAGACCATACATACCTGTTCTCACCCAGGAAGATTTCATCAACTGGGACACATTAAGCTTAGGATAATGAAAGGCTGAAGGAAAAACAGAATGGAAGAAAAACATCCTTAAGAACAGTTTTCTAAACAACATACACAAAACCAGAAGCCACTACATAATTTATACTGTCAGCAAGCATCTTATTTACACAGATGCATTTCTTCTCCCAAGGCAATGCAGACACAATGGCAAGGGAAGTGCTCCCAATGTACTCTGCTGAGTTTGTCTCTAACAAAAAGAAGCTAAGTGAAACAGTCAGATTTATTACGTGAAAGACTCCAAGCTGCTGCACCGGGGTCATTGCTCTCAGGAATTTAAAAGCTCACTGCCTGAGCTGTGACTCTCACTGAGCTAGCTGCAGGATCAGATTCTTGCTCAAAGGGCAGTGAGGCAACTCCTGAGCGTCTCAGGATGAAAATAAGACCTTCTCTGAGGCAGAAACTACAAGGAAACAACAAATGTAAAGCAGAGAACTAAACACATATGATTTGTGTTCCAGACTGGTGCAGTTTTATTTATAAAACCCACAAATAACCACATGTAGAAACACTGCTCTAGACAAACCTCACGGCTTTTCTCCTCGGCTTGGTGGCTCCAAGTTTTCCTAATTTCTCAATTAAAAAAAAAAAAAAAAGCTCTGCTTTAGAGGGAAATCCTTGCCCCAGTAAGGAAAACAGTCTATTTCTACTGACTTCAGTATAGATAAGATTTTTCCCAAGGTTTCCACTGGAGAGCAGTAAAGACATGTTGGGAAAGAAGTGAAGATGGGGGCTGGGCCAACAGTTTCCTCAAGGGAAGTATTAAGCTTCACTATGGCAATAAGGAAAAGGAATGGTCTTAACTTTCTCAAAATATTTAATCCAGATGCAGCTTGCTAAGCATTATACAAAGGTTAATTTTTAAACCATTTCATGAACAGAAAGAATGCAGCACATAACAATTAAATGACCTGGCCCATGCTGGATCAATTTAGAATAAAGATGTCCACAGTTGTGGACTAGTTTGCCACTACTCCACATTTCAGGGAAGCAGAAAATTGAAGTTTTTCTAATTTAATGATGCAGGAATTTGTAGACAAGCCATTCTCTGTCAGTGTACCGAAAATCTGATTCTTTTGCCCATTAAAAAGCTTAGGAATTTTTTCTGTTAAGGTAAAAGTAAAAGAATCATTAGTTACATTTTACCTTTTATTTCCACAGATTTATAACTAACTCCTACTGGACGAAAAAAATAAAATAAAATTTGGTTACTCCACCTTTATTTCAGCAATAGCACCATTAGCTTCAAGATGACCACCTCTCTGGTACTCTGTGACTTACTATTCAGAAGGGTGTTGGAACATGGTCCTTTTTTTCTGAACAGGAAACACTGGCCCTCTATGCAAGTGATCACAATGCATTAAATTTCCAAAACTCTCAGACAAGCAAAAAGCACCTCAGAGTCCATTTAAACACACCCATTTATTTCTGGCATCCTGCTACTTGATTCTTCTGATTGTAGCTTTTAGATTGAAATTCTATTTACTCCAGTCATGCAATTGTTTACTTCAATTTAGAGATGGAAGCTGAACAAAAAAAGCATAAACTGAACTGAAAACTGATTCTGTTGTTTTCCAATGCATGGCAAAAGTACGATAAGGAAATCAAAAACCATCCAGTGACCATAAAGCTTTGAACTCCTAGGAATTGTGAGTTTTTTCTTCTTTAACCCAAAATCGTGTTTTGCTTCAATACTTACTGTGCTCTTCACACTTTTTCTAATTAGTACTTGAAAATGATTTAATTCATGCAAATTGCTGGGTGACTATTCATTTAAACTTTCCACAGAATTAATGCAACTTAAAAATAAACCAACTTGAGCAGAAAATCTTGACATTGAAAAGGAAGATGTGCTGCTGTGATCATTGCCAGCCAAGACTGGTTCTAAACCCTGACAAAGAATGCTGAAAACTGTCAGAAGTCAGCCAATCCAGGTTCCAATTCTTATACCACAGGTCACTGTAGTGTCTCACTGACACACAGACCTTGGGCTCATCTGGAGTCTCAGCACTGCAGTAAGATCGAATTTACAAGAGTTCTGATGTCCTCTGGAACTAACAATTACAAACAGCACTGACTGATTGTTATTCTGAGGGGGAAGCTGGATAGACAAAATGCAATTATTAGCTAGATTGCAGCTGGTCTGCTAATGACTCTGGATGCATTAATGAAGTAGATGCTGGCATCATTAGAAGATGCTAACAGGGAGCCCTGGAGCACCATACTGTGTAACAGCATCGATTTGGGGCCGAATGAAAAGGGAAAGGGTCACCTGCTCACCAGAGACCTACTAAGAGCAGTCTAAGGCACACCACTCAGGCAGTGTGGCCATTGCCAGATGTTGTTAGGATCTCTCTCTCCTACAGATGTGCGGGACCATGCAGGACAGATCTGGCGTCATGCTGATCGTTCTTATTTCTGATCAATGGAGAACTGTAGTAGAAAGCACGGAGGGAATGCAGGATTTGAGAAGGCATTAAATGAAAAGTAAGATTCCATGCAGATACTGGGATGTGGGCAATAGCACATTAAACAGAGACACATTGTGTCTGTTTAAAACCTGATCTAAAATCCACTCAGAAGAAAATTGGCAAATACTTCTGCAGTCCTTGGATCATATAATGCAATTTTATATTTATCCTATTGGCCTTGCAACATCTCCAAGACAGCCAAAATAGATGACATGCATCAAAGAGCTACTTAGAACTGAAAAATTAGCAAGTCCCAAGGCAATTCTCTCTACTCTCTCTCTCTACTCTCTTAGGACTTGAAGTCCTAAGAAAAACAAAGAGCTTTATTCAGGGTAAGTTCATGAAGGCAAATATTGCCATCTACTCCACAGCTAGCCTTTACCTGTCCACCAAGAAATGTGCTAGCCATAAAGAGATACTAAATATATAGTTTCCTGTTATTTTTAATGAACTAGCATCCAAACCCTGTGATTGGACTTGGTTTTCTTTCTGCTGACTTGCAGGTCATGACTATCTAATCAATTTACAATCTGAAACATGAGCTGTAAGGTAGACAATCAAAAATAAGCATAAGAAAGGTGTAAACTGGACATTTGAATAAAAACACGTTGCTCAAGTCACCTAGAAGTCTTGTGACGAAAGAAGAAAGTCTGGAAGTTTCCAGGTTTTGCCATTTTCACAGCCCTATTCCTGCAAAGAACAGTCCACATCTGCCAAACAACTTTCACTCCTGATCCTGACTCTATGTGAGTGGGGAAAAGACTGACAAAGAATTCCTGGTGTTAACAATGGGAAGGGCCAAACCACACAGTTAAAACTATAAACAGGACATATTATTTATGTGAATAAAAACCATGAGAGGACAGTGTGTGAAAGGGAATGCAAAATGAACAAGGGGCAAGAAGCAAATACACTCTTTGGAACAAAGCTCATATTTGGGATATTGATGTCATGGTCTCACTGAACAATGTAGAGATGCACAAGTAGCTTTTCTTGAGTATGATCAACTTAAAACCCCAAGGCTGGGGGTTGAGACCTGGCCTCAGTTCACCCACAGATAATTTCTTCAGATACAGCTACAAAACGTACAAAATCATGCACAGAGTCCTTAGGGGAAAAAGAAAAGTCAACACCAAGAGTATGACTTAGTGTGACTTAGTTTATCAGCATGCCTGATAAACTAAGGCACAAATGGCACAGAACAGTATGGCATGGAACATTTTATATTTACATATGAACACTAACATATATAGATGGTTTACATGTAAATATCCAACATTCCTAGAAAAAAAATCACACTGAAAGCAAAGGTTTGCATCTTAATCAGCACAGATCAAAGCAGCTGTATCAATCTAAGGTGCTGTAACACCTTCCCTGCTACTCTAGTTGCTCTAGAAAACAAAAACATTTAGGCATCTCCCTGCTAAAGTAGCTTTGAGGATCTGGCTGTTGGTCACCCTCAACAGTCTGTTGAATGTTTCAGGAAGGATCTGCCCAATGCTGCCGAGCCTTGGGACAGGATTTTTGGCTCTGAATCTGAAGATCTAAAAGCCTTAGGTTTAAAATCCAGTCACAGCAGCAGTGTAAAAAACTGTAGGAACAGCTAAAAATAACTGGCTGTGGTTGCCTCACTGATAAAAGAGTCTGAACTACATTGATCATTTCTGTGCTTGCTGACAGAAGGACCCACAGCTCTAGCAATCTGAGAAACTGTGCTCCCACTTTGCCAACTTACCAAATATCACCAGGGCTGGTATTCCAGAACAGTGCCTGTTAAAGCATTACTGAGACCAAAGTAGACCAGTTCAAACCCAAATGTGCTGTCCTACAATGGGATCAATCTATAGTAAATGTGAGCTCCTCTAACAGCAAGCAAGTCAATTGCTGACATTATGTTCCTTAATTTAGGACACTTTATTCACCAAATCCTCATGTTTTCTACATTGCAATCTTTGGGAAGATCTCATAGTTCCTAAAAATCTTGAGCTTTTCAGTCATCCTACTTCACTTTGCTTTGTAATTGGCATGTGAGTGACCCAGGGCTCCACTGGCGCTGGCATCATCCCCAGTGCCAGGTACTGTACACATGCAGGTCACAAACACAGGGACAGCTCCTCACACGAGCACTAAAGTAATTTCAAATTTCCTAAGTAGCGTCAGGAAAGGAAAACAGAATCATAGAATTGTTTGGTTTGGAAGGGACCTTAGAGGTCACCTAGTTCCAAGCCCAAGGAGAACCATGTACATTCATCTTTAACAGGAATGGCTTCCCCCTATGACCAGCCTCACTTTCAAGCTATACCAGCCTTGGCAGAAATTCTGTTATCACTTAATTGCACTGTAGCTCCATTGCACAATCCAGAAGATGGATTCTCAGCAAGGGGCAACCTGCAAATGCACAAATATAATTTCAGAATACGTGGACAAGACTAAAAGCTGTAAGAGCCGATGTGGGCTCTTACATCACAGGAAAAAAAGCATCCCTCAACACCAAAAATATTACCAGAGACTAAAAGCTACCTAAACTCAAGCTCAAATGCATAAAAGAGAGGACACAGAGTAAAGAGAGGTGTCTTTCAAGCTATCAAGGCAAGAGCAACATTTTATTTGCATTCAGTGAGCAATAAAGACCATAGCCCACAATGTGAGATGTTCTGGGGCTTCCAAGATAAAAAAAAATGCTGGGCATCTATAGACAGGGATTCTCAAGACTTGGTCCTGGCTCCACTAACAACAACCTTATACATCTTTTAACTGATTATGGGAGTAGAGGGATCAAAAATGCTGAAAACATGAAATCAAAAGCTTCAAAAAATTAGTATGTTTAGAGTGCATCCAGTAAATGGGGAAGTATCCTGTGCAATCATCTTACCTAGATTGAAAGCTGCTAAGGAGAGCACTTTTCTGTTGACAGTGACTCTCTTTGCAGTATTTTTACTGACATACACAGCTGCATAAAGAACACCAGCTACAATTAGACCTGATTTTCCACTAAATGTTTAACTATATTGTAAAACTCACTATGACAGATGTTATGCATCTCTACAGCTCACAGAAATAACTCAAAAAATCAAAAAGCATGGTGAGATAGGAGCAATGGGGAATTAATGGGCTGAGTCAGTGACACCCACCAGCAGGAAAGGCAAGTACTATTCTCCTATGATCTTGCTTATGTTCCTGAGTCATCTGAAAAATCTAAAATCTAATATAAGTTGTCAAGGCCAAGTGTCAAGCAAGCTCTGTTATGCAGGCAGTTCCCACTCATTTGTGTTTAGAATGATGGTGGTCTGGAAAAAAAGACTTGCTATGCAAATGTACATAAAAAGTGAGAAAGGTAATACCTTAAAACTTAACAGATGGCATAGACAAATTAATTCAGACTATTTGGGCAAATATCAACTTATGTAGCCAGTGTCCCAGGAGTTTCTAGAAGTCAGAGACACAGTTAAGGGCAACAAAACCCTGAAAGCACTGAACACTCCTGAGAATTAGCAAAGGCCTCTCTAGACATAAGCACAGAGACACACCTTGGACTGCACTTCTCAGCAATACTGATCTAAGTGATTTTCTTATTTTTAGGTCTGGACTAAGACCAATGAACTGACAAAGCCAGGTTAAGCACAACTGATCCAGCACAAAAGGAAAGTATGATGACAAAAGCAGCAAGATGCTGTAACACCAAAATGTGAGCAGAAAGAGGCACAGATTGCCCTGCAGAACTCATGATTCAAGTTAAGCACTTGAAGCTGCATTATGGAAGAAATTATTTTAAAATTGTACAGAGGGAAAATACTGGACAGAAGTAATCTGCAGTATTGGATGACAGCAAATACTCACGTTCAGCAATCTGCTGCACAGGGAAGCCCAGATAGAAGCTGAATTCCACCACGGACAAGTTTCTGAGCTGCTCACTGACTTCAGACCCATTGAGAAAACCGTACCTGTCTCGGATGGCAAAGACAATGCTCACAGGGCCCTGTCGAAATGCCAACCCAGGCCTGCTCAGAGTTATGTTCAGTATCTGAAAAGACAGCATTGAAGCAGGGTCAGCAAAATCAAATCACTGCCATTTCCATCCCTTCCTTGACAGACTTTTTCCTCTTATATGAAGAGGGGGGTAATTCATATCAATACAGAGGAACATCTGTTCCAGATTGGTTCAGCCAGCTGAGTCTCAGAAGGGCAAAGTTGCATGTGAATTCCTCTTCAAAGAGTCATCCTTTAAGGTCAATCATAATCCAGAATGATCTGACAGCTACAGCCCAGAAAATTATGAGAAAAAAACACCTAGCAAGACAGACAGCAAAATAAATCTAGTCATAAATAAGTCTTAGATGAATGCCAAACAGCATGGAACAGAAGAAAGGGATTGATTATGGCAAAAAAAGTTCTGAAAATGGATGTTCTCTTGGTAAAAATCTCCTGCACCGTGCACACCCAAACCCAGCAGATGTTAGAAGCCTTTTTGTGGCACCAATATACACAGCAACTGTATTTATGTAGATGAACCTTTTCCAAAAAATAAGAAGTATTTAAAGTAAGTTGGCTAAGCTGACAGTCCAAGAAATTGTTTTGCATGTTCTATCTTCAGTCTATGCAGTGACACTGTGTTTGAAGTTCTGAGCACTCTTCTATATGTACTACACAGTACTTTAGGTACTCTAGAATTTGTCATTTTTCTTCCTGAATTTATTTTAGCGTACAACAGATGGGTATTTATGGTGTCAGTTAAACAACATAATAAAATTTTTACTGAGTTTGGTATTACAACAAAGTTAGATTAAATTTAAGAATTCAAACAGAAGAGGGAGTTGATCTCATTAAATTGAATTACTGACTTTCCAGGGAGCTCTAAGCTCTGCTGTGTGATTCAGGGCTCTGCACATGTGCTGTACCTTTCATGTGTGAAGTTTCAGCAGCAGCTGTCACACACATCACACACTGCAAGTATTTCTGGACCTCAGAAGAAAGAAGCATGGTTGCTCACATGATGGCAGGGTCATGTAACTCCCATATTCCCTAACGGGGTCTCCAGCATGGCAATGAGACCTGGAAGCTTTCTTCCAACAAAAACTTTTTAACCACACCCTAGTCTTTTATAGTAAACTATGATGGGAGCAACTCTGGTAAGGGCTGGAACAGTTTTTATTTGAGAAATTATAAACCCTATTATATTCAAAAATTATTTTGGATACAAACTAACTTCATGACAAAGCCTCATAGTTCTACATGACCTAGACTGCAAGTGACAGCCAAAGAACACCTAACTCATTTTCTTGTCTGGAAGAAACACAGGACAAGCGAAGGTGGGGGACTGACACAAACAATGCTCATCCTCTCACCTGCACAGTGAAGTTGTAGGACTCCTGGTGCTTGTTCACCTCCAGGAATGCCATTGTCAGCCCTTTCTCAATGCGCTGGCTAAAGGTGCAAAATCCAATATCCACGTTTCGAGGTACAAACTGAAGCACTAAAAGCAAAGGGCAATTATTCCTACAGAAAAGTACTTCCATGAGAGAGAACAAAACAACAGAATTCACAAGGCTATCATTTCCTTCTTTCATGAAACTCAGGACACATTCAGTGAAACACCAGATGAAAACACATTAAAAATACATTTTGTGTTGCTGCAGTACATTCTCTACTCACTAAGACTGGTTGCAGCAGTAATTAGATCTCTGAAAGATACTACTGACAAAATACTGACTGTTTCCTCTTGTACACTAAAAGACCTTCACTATATACATGTGGCTAACTTCACCTCACCTGACCACTGAATTGGCCACACTGAAATTTTGAGCACCCAGCCAATCCATGAAAATCTTCAGAAAATAAAGCAACAAATACCTCTTTCTTGTAGCCTGAAATACAGTATTTAGCTTGCCTAAAAGACTACATATTGGATCCATTAATGCACATTAATACAGGTGTAATACTTTCAAAACACTTAGTGAGCTATCTGTTAAATTTAAATACAGAAATCTTTATGTTCAGAAGAGAGAAAGAAAGAGCACAAGATAGGAGTGAGTGTAGAGGAAGGTGATCAGGCACACAGACGTTAACAACTTGCACATCTGTGAATTTCTACATATAGCCTTACTCAAAGAAATGCAACAGTTAGCTTACAGATCCCAGCAGCAATGTTATATAAGGTTCAAACCCAAAAAATACACCTCCTGTCTATCTATATAACCATGTTAAGCAGTGGAAAAAAACATCACACCTGCATAGTTGAAGTGATGCCTTGCTATACAATTATTAACACAGCACAACAACACACAAAGTGTATCTGAACAAAAGTTCCGTGTTGACATTTATTAATTCTGCTTGTATGCTCAGTCCCTGTCACTACCTCATTACACAGCCAACCAACCAGGCAAGCAGTTTTATCATGCCACCAGGGCCCAAAGAAGATTTTAAATGACAACACTGACTCTGAAAATCTATTACATGTGTACCATTTTGCTTTAGATTATTAGTAGTCAAACTTTGCATGAACTGCTGCAATACAGCAGCCATGGAAAGCTGAATACTACATAGGCAATCCTCCTGCTCATGTTATACATGAGCAATCAATCCTCCTGCTCACCACTCTCCTACATCATGACAACACAAAAAGGCAGATTTTAACATAAATTTAATCTGAAATTGACACAAACATTACAAAGTAGCTGCACTGTGATTTTATGAATAAATGCTTCATGGATTTTTTTATCTTCTCGCCTTGAGAAGAGAAAGAGCACAGTTATTTTGCAATGTACTGGAAAAAAAAATCCTGAAAAAAACAGGAAGTGATGGGTTTAACTGTTTATAATTACCACCTCTCTGCCATGGACCTGTAAACTATGTCATTAACAAAAAGAATAAAGATTCACATTAGAACAGAAGGTTTTGACTTGACCCTGCACTGCAAGTGAAGAAGTGTGAATCAACAGGAGCCACCTTTCCCCCTCTGTGTCAGGAGGAACTCACCTGTCTGAACCTGGAACCTGTTGTCTGGCACAGTGAAAGAAGGGTGCAGTGAGAGGATGATGGGGGCCTCCCCACGAAGAAGACTGCTGTTCAAAAGCGCATTTATGACAGCTATTGCCGTGTAAACAAAGGGACCCGATGTCACCAAGAAAGCAAATCTGGGAGAAATTTTATAAACCTACAAAAAAAGAAAAAAACCTGAAATTAAGAAAATCCAAATATGTCAATGTTAAATCTGGCAACATTTTAGACCTACACAGTCTCAAGGAGTTAAAAGCCACCTCACTGAGAGGCAGGAAAATGCAGTCTTTATTTTTCAAAGAGCAGCAGAAGCTCAAACACAAGTGCTGAGCCTTGCAGCCTCTGCTCCAGTGCACCAGAGGAAACTCCCTTGTGCCAGGTGCACCTACTGGAATCTCTGCAGTACACCACACCAATCTCAGCACTTCTTGATTTATCACATTCCCACATATTAGCACTCCCCCTTGCCTACATTCCCCTGGTGTACATAACATTTCCATACAAAATTCCTGTTTACTTTCTGAACTGCCTGCATAGCTTCTGCATTTCAGTCATACACCATATAGTGAATGCATCCTATACCATTCATATGTGGCACACAAGGAGTAAAGTACACATAACCAATGCTTGTTAGATATATTTTTCACACTCAAGAAACTTTTTTCCAGGGAACACTTTTAACTGCTTGTTTCAACAGTTACCACATTACAATTCCCCTTTTCTAATTCATGTCCTGACTTTGAGTCTTTTTAAAAACCCTGAGGAGCCTCAGATATCATGTAAAAGAAATGAGATTGCAAGTTAAATATAAACCTTGAACCATGCAGACACTCTTATCCATCATTTCTCAGTCACCTAAGTAGAACAAACAGAAGGGTTTTATTTATTTAAACATATTGCAGTGTCTTCCCTCCTTCAGAGAAACTCTCTCAACACTAAGAACACCTGTTTCCCCACCATTACTTTTTTCCTTCCTTGGTTTACTCCCCCAGGTTGCTTTATTTGCCTGTGGTGGTCACACTTCAAAAGTATTTTGGGATATCCAACAAACACGATGGCCTCAGGATAAATAATGTAAACCAGGGACCCAGAGTTTCTGATAAATCCACTGAAGGGATGCTAGCACCTTGCAGGTGCCATGCTGGTGAAGGGATGTGTTGGATACCTTCAGCTTCAGGAACAGCCTTATAGAAAACCAGTGCCACTTAAATTGCGACCCACACACTCCTTTTTGGCGTTTCTGCTGTAGTGTAAAGTGATGGCAACTGCTGTTCAGATGAGACAGCAAGCAGCTCCTTCCTGTCTTCTAAAATGCCTGCATTTCAGAGAGCTCATCTCCACCAGAAGAAACTACCTCAGCAGCAGCAGGAAATGAGAAAAATAATCTATGCTGCTCATTATGCCTTTTTTCTTTCTTTGCCCACAAATATATGCAACATCCAACTTTTATTTTAAATGGATTTAGATCCATAAAACTCAAATTTGTTTGATATGAATAATGTGCACAGCTCCTTTCAGTTCCTCTTATCTGAAATTTTATTCTTTTATCTCATGATGAAATAATCTCTGCAGCTTCAGTTTGTCAAACAGAAACAGCAGTTAAAAATGGGTAACACATGCCAAAAGAAAGTTGCCCATTACTTGCAAATGAGACTGCTTAAAAGGCAAGGAAAAGAGGAATTAGAATTACAAATCTCAGTGACAATTTGCTGGTGATTTCTGGAGCAGTATATGCTGAGGAAGAGAGGTTTGCTGCAGCCAGCACATACTTATGCACTGGAGTTGGGTATTTCAGACTCAAAAGCAAACCAGCTCAGCTGCCCCCATCCCTGCCTGGTTGTGCTGCCCCACAGACAACCAGGAAAGCAGCCATGGAATTCACTTTTTCAGCTCAACAGCTAACACTGGTTCCCTTCTGTGCTGCACTGCATCAGAAGAGCAACAGCAACTCCAGAATGGACATCCAAAATAAAAATCCACTTTTAACAGTAATTTTGAGGTAGGCAGATTACAACCACTACAAGTCAAAACAATAGCTATTTCTGCTTGAGATATTGCAGGGTTGTCTAGAATTAGCTCTCTTCAGCCAAATCCATATGACAGAAATAACAGACCCATGACAGCATGATGCTGTCTTTAAGTTAATTCAGAGAGAAGCCTACAAAGTTATCAAGGCTAGATAAGCACAGCTCATGACTCTGGAATCATGATTCATGAATGAGAATAGCTGCTCTTAGCACAGCTCTAATGGTTCACAAACCCAGCCATCCATCCAGCTCTCTCTTGGAAGTTTCACCTCTACTGCTAGGACAGCTGGATGCTAACAAATTAGGTGGCTGAACCATCATGTTGCTATAAAAGTACACAAGCATGGATTTCTTTTATTAAAATGTACAAGTATTTTAACTTTAACGCCTTGGGCCAGACAGCCAGAGAAGCACACAGAACTCCATGTGCAGTTTAGAGCTTATTGCAACAGCAGAAACCTTCAGCAGAAGCAGAGAACTCTCACAACACCTAAAGTTAAGCTATCCCTGCTCCTGAGTGCAATGCCTGACCCAACTCAGCTGTTGCCAGGATACAACCCAGCTCATTCCAAGCTACCCTCACAAGAGAGAGCACATCCAGCACAGAAAGCTTTTAAGACTCAGTTTACTAAGGTTAGAAGAGTATTTAGAAAAAACATGACTTGATCTTTTCTTTGTCCCTTGTGCTAAAATACTTGATCAGATGCAAAATGTTTGCCAAAACCTAATCCATGCCTACACTCCACTGTATTATCTGCTGTGAAAACATCTGGCAGAAAGCATCAACAACTGATTTTCTCACCACCACCTTATTAAGAATCCTATAAAGAGCCTGCAGAGGGTGTTTAACTTCCTGAAGATGGACTACAAAGGCTCACAGGTCTTAAAAATAAATAAAGCTTCTGCTTCTACACACATCAGGATCCTGAGGCAGCAGTTCTCACTGGTTTTGCACACACCTCTATGGTACCAGCCACAACTTCAGCAGTGGTGAAGCAGAGATGAAGCCAGTGCAGACCCACAAGGTGGCATCTTTGGAAGAAGCATTTACCTGGCAAAGGCCTGAACTCCACACTTTGGAGGCAGAGGTCACTGATTTGGGAATATGGGAACTGGTATGTTAAGGAGACACCACCAAACCCACATTAAATACAACAACCAAGTGGCTAAGGTAAAAATGCCAGCTGCAGGATAAAATTTCCAAGCACAAACGAGGCTGGCAAAACCCCTTTTCCTGCTGGCATGAACTTAATGGCACCAGGGGTCCTGGCAGTGAGTCTCTGCCAACACTATTTTATTTTACACCCCAGTGCAAGTCAAGTCAAGAGAACATTGTACAACAGATCCTACCCAAGTGTCATAAGCTTTACATTAGAGTGTTGACTAAAATTACTCAGACAATGGGGTCTTATTCTTTTGCAGATGCAATATGGTGAGACCAAGAAGGAAAAACTCTAAAATTTTTGGCTTTTCTTACTTTACTGTAAGGATTTTTCTAGGGAAAAAAGTGACAGAAGTTTTTTTCATTTGTCAGGATCCTCCCTCCTCTTTTTTCCACTTCAGCAACTCACAGTGTTTGAAACAATAAAGCAGCAGAGACCAAAGTTTCAACTGAAAAGCTGAGGGCAAAAAATGCTTTAATCCTCCTTTCACTGGTAAACTTGCTTCTTATTTAAAGTGAGAGGCAGTTATAGCCATCACAGCCATGGATTTTATTTTTAAAGCATACATTACTACAAAGTTAAATTTAACTGGACTGTCTCCTGATTTACTGTACATTACATCACAGTGAGGGAACATCTGTGAGCTGTAATAAGAGACAGTAAAAAAGCAGCTTAGAGAAGTGCACTGCTTTACTATAACTTGCAAATACACACATGGTTTCTAGGTACTTTCAACTAACAAAAGTCAGGTCTGTTTGATTGATTAAGTTTAGCAAGATGGAGAAATTCTGTTTAAAATACTGCATTACATCACCACTCAACATACTGCTGTTATAGACAGCTCTTTTTTGAACCAACAGTTTTGTTAGTATTCCACAGTTAGAGGTGAAAACATATTTGCAAGTGATTATTTTTAGTGCAGAACCCATATGATAGCAGCATTCTAGAACAAGCAAAACTGATTCAGCAAAGATGTCTTTCCTTTAGATAAAAAAGATTTTCCAAAGGATGAAGCTAGACTAGCTGCATTATTTATAAAAACAGTTACTTCTGAGAAGCTTTCTCCCTATTGAGACCTTTACAAGGCAGGCATGAAAGGCAGGAAATTAAAGGGGAAAATATAAGGTGAGATATCAAATCCTTGTTCCAATTAACCTTCAAATATTAAGTAATGGATTTTGTCCTACTTCTGTTAATAGTAAGAATATAAGCATTTCCATATTAATGAGCTGTGTAAGGTCACTGAAAATTAAATGTTTTTACATTATGAACATCTGACTTCTTCTTGGCTATTCCACAAACTGAAGGTATAATTTACAAACCAAAAGAAAAATCTCTTATATATTAAAAAAAAATAAAATTCTAAGTAGCTTATGAGCAGGTGTTGCTAAAATGACAAAAACTAGCTATAATTTACAGAGGCAGCTCACTATAGCTGAAGTTTGGCAGGAATTTATAACACTCCTATCTTGACTGAGTAGTAGAGATGTACATGCTCAAATATCAGACACGAGTTGTTTAATTACTGAGTGCAGTGATCATGGGAGATGCCAAAATTAAAGGCACCAAGAAATTCCGTGCACAAAGAAATGCAAGTTATGTTATGTTCAATGAGAAGAAATACAAGTTATGTTCAATGTACTGCTACTTGAGTTAACTACAGAACAAAAATGAGATCACTGACTCACAGAAGCTCATCTGGTACTGGGCTGTGACAACTAGATGAATACAGACATGCAAAACTGCAAGTGCAGCTGAAAGTCATCTACACCAATAATTCTACTGAAGTATTTCCTTACCACTGAAGTATCTGATTACACAACAAAGGTACCCCCAAACTACCCCTGTGTCTTTCCCTCTCAGAGGGTTTGACACAGAGGTGGGGAACAGAACCTTTAACCCTTATTTCAACAATTGGAAGTTAGAAAACAATATTGAAATCTTGCTCAAAGATGATTCCTTGAATATCAAAGAAAACTTTCAGAAACCCCCAAGCGTACAGCTAGTCCTGTGAGGGGAATAAGGACAGGAGTTACACCTACCTGAAGGCTTAAAAATAACATCTTACTATTGCACACCTGATTTTTCCCCTTACCTTTTCCATCTGCTGAATCAGGCATTTGGGATTCCACCACCTCCCCTGCAAGTGTCGATTCATTTTGCCTAAAGTGCCAAGTATGTAATCAGCTAGCAGTACAAACAGACCTGCCTTAACAGGTATTTTGAAGGATAAAAGTTCTTCAGTTTCAATTCACCAGGCAGAGGAGGTGAGCAGTGGATTCTGGACATGACTTGCTTACCTCTAGCAAAACCAACAAAGGTCTGTCCTAGAAAATGATGGCATTCTAAAAGCAAAAAAGTTGACATGTCCACATTAAAAAAAAAAAACAAAAACCAAACAACCAACACATGACTAACACTTAACTTAAAATAAAGCTCTCTCTGATACAGTATCTATGGACTGTCTGAATTATAGTTTTAGCATTTGAACTAAACCCCTACTCTATTATATTGACCAAAGAGTACTTATACACACTTCATACCACTTACCTCCAGCTCTACTGATCTCCTGAACTGAACTCTGAGCACTTCTCTGATGGATTCAGTGACATTTCGTAGAACAGCTCTTCGGGCCAGCACTAGAAATTAATGTCAGTCAGAAAATACTTTTTAGCTTCATCTCTTAGATTTTGATTCAAAGCTGCATTTTCAACTGTGCAACACATGAAGAAGCAGGTAGTGAGATCAGTTGCATCAAACAGGTAAGATGAACAACAAGGACAGGGGTCAAGGTGTGACTGTATCCTAAAAAGTGACTGTAAAGTTTAAGGAACTGTAAGTTTATTTTCTCTTGTTTTGTTTTTCCACAGCTAATGTCTTTAGCATTCTGATAAAAGAAACTTTTAAAGAGCCACTGAGGCATTCAAATGGGAAAGCAGCAGCATATTTGGTCTGACTTGTGAGTGAGTTCGCTGCCACAACACAGTTAAAAGTTTTGTAGGCAACACATGGAATGTAGATAAGGTCAGAAAAAAGCCACAGAAAATATGTATCTACTTTTCTCTTAAATAAAAAGTAAGCAAACGTGACATTAATTAATGAAAGGGATATCCACAGAGTTAGAAAGAGCTTTAAGATCCCCCCATCCCAATAGATGTCATGTCTGTTACAGTCACACTGGACACTGTGACTGTGGCTTAAGCAAACAACTGGAAAGTGTTGTGTTGTCATCCTGCATTTACTTTCCATCAATAACTTGTCTACAAAAGTACTCAAATTACATTTAAAAAAAGTCTTCCTCATCCCTAGCACAGCTAGATCACCTACATATCTGGAGGATGAGATTATGCTCATTCTGCTTTAATTCTTGCAACTAAGTCTTCAGAGTAAAAAATATTGCTCAGCACAAAAATGCAGCACTTCTGCAGCTGCCCTGGATTAGTTTGCTGGCACTGTTTTGTTAACAAGCTAGGAAGAGGCAGCAAAACACCAGAAAAGCAAACACAGATGCTAAGACAATTAATTTTGAAACACACTAATGTCACTTTTTCTGGTTACAAACACACCAAATCCAATTGAAAGTAAGTATGGAAGGAGGTAAGATACAAACATAAGCTAGTAAGGTGAAATTATAAACATGGTTGCAAAAACCAAACTTTTTTTAAACCAATTCTCCTCTTACATATGACAACATTACCTCACATGCAGGTGTTTTTTAATAAACAGCAGCAACAACTGAAAGGAGAAACTTACTCAGTCAGAACATTAAACAGTTTGGCAGAACCGTACCATGACAGTAACATTCATTTACAACCAATGAAGTGATAAAGCAGCCTCTAACTCAGCACACTCGTATCAGCAATTTTTGAGGACAATTTCATTCTCTGTGCAGTGTAATCTATTTGTAACTCTCTCTCACAATGGACTTTGTTCAAGTGAACTCTATTATTTTTAACAGTAAATGATAAATCAATGCTTTTACAGCTCTTGGTCTGAATTTACACCATAAGGTTCACTTAGTTAATCCAAAATCTGCAATTTAGCTAGGGTTCATGTTGCAGTGGCTTCTGCAAACCAAAATGAAAATGCTGGGGATATCTTACCCGCAGTGACCAAGTAGGCGTTGGGAACAGTGATGTCGCAGACGTACGGCTGCCTGGTGGTTGTCACAGCAGAGGTCACAGCCACCACTTCAGGTGGAGCAGTGCTCCTCAGAGGGGGGGAGGACATTGTCCCTGGGCTGCCTGTAGCACTGGAGGAGATTGTCCCTGGGCTGCCTGTAACACTGGAGGAGATTGTCCCTGGGCTGCCTGTAGCACTGGTGGCAGCAGCTGATGGATCAGCACCAGCAGTTACACTGCTTCCTGATGGAACTTCATGTCCAGGGGGAGGGCTGGCAGTCAGAGGGAATTGTGTGGGAGAAAACGACGAGGTCACAGGCAGAGATGCTGTAGGAAAGGGTGTTATGCTGATGGTGTCAGCATCTGATGCAAGGATGTCAGGGTCTGTGGGAGGAATGGCTGTGGGGACACTGCCCCTGCTGCCAGATGTTAAAAGCAGCGTGGGGTTAACTGTAGCACCAATATCCTCATCAGAGCCCAGAGCAGTTGAAAGTAGAGATGAAGATATGTTTAAGACAGGAGTTGCTGGGAAGGTAGTAAACGAAGAGATCAGATTTGTTTCACTGAGCAAGATGCTGCTGGTAACAGACTGGGTGTCGGGAGCGGGCAGCACCAGGGTAGGAGCCACAGAGGGAGAGGTGGAGAGGGAAGGCTCCAACTGAGAGGTAGCTCCTGTGGCAGCTGAGGTAAACACAACTTCAGAGCCCACTGGCAGTACCGAGGACGCTTCCAGAAACACAGATGACTCGGAGTGAAACTCCGATGATGGCATTATTTCAGGAACCTGTGAATCTGGAAGGGACGATGTGTTGGAATGAAAGTATGGTGTTTGGCTAAGATGTAACTGAGAAACCTCGGCATCAGTGGCAGAGCTGACAGTGGTAGCTAAGTCCCAGCTGGTAACATCCTCAGGAAGTACTGATGTCCCAGTCAACAAGGTCTGAGGTAACAGTGTTAATAAATCACTTTGCATGACAGAGTAAGAATTTATCATGGTCAGCGATAAAGACAAGTAGCTAGATTCAATAAGAAACGGCGTTGATAAAAGATTGGATGGAAAATCTGAAATATTTAAAGACAGTTCATCCCTTGTAGAAGTCTTGTCAAGCAAAACCACGGATTCTGATGGCATTAATTCTGGCAGCTCCAGCAAGGTTGTCCGACTGATTGCGAACGATGTGACTGGCTCGCTGGGGGTGATGGCAGAGTCCAACAGAGCAGTGGTGGCACCAGGAAATTCCACATGAGCACTTGGAGTCAATGAAATTGTTTCCAGAACAGGGAGGGTCTGGGAAACAGAGATGTTCAGTGATGTTTCCCCAGGGAGCTGATGGAAGGAGGGAGATATTGTTATAGGTGTTCTAGTGTCTGTAGTGCTTAATAAAAACATGCTTGAGTCAGGGATTTCTGCGAGTCTTGAAGAAAGTGAAACAACTGGTCTTGATGGAAAAGAAGTATCAAAAGTCTCAGGTGTAGGTTCCTCTAAGTCATACCCATCAGTAATTATAGTTGTAAATGCAGTTATGCCTTGTACTTCAGAGGCTCTGATGGACAAAGTTTCAGCATCATCGCCTGAGCCCACATCGTGTTCTGGGGCAAAGCCTGCTTCTGGCAGAAGGGAAACAGAGTCACAATACAGACAGTAACCGTAGGATCTCGTGAAAGGCACTGGACTCTTGAGCTCACTGGCAAGCTCTGATTGACTTGGTATTTCTGAACCAGCAGGCAAATTTGGTGCTGTAGTGGAGAATTCGTGTGTAAACAGGCTGGCATTAAGAACTGTCTTAGAGTTCACGGAAATGGCAGCTGAATCCAGAGGGAAAGACACAAGTGGAAGACTAATAGGATAAAAAGCAGGCTCAGCACTGGCTGCTGAAGCTGGTGTGTGCCAGGGAATGCTTGGAGTGGGGTAAGTCCTTTGACTGAGAGATTCTGCTGCCCTGCTACTCACATGGGTGTAAACATCACCATACAGGTCTGCACCTTGCACTGTGGCATCTGGGGCCCCAGGGCTGGTTTCACCCCGCAGCTTGAGATGGAGAGGAGATCCCTCTGAAGCACCCCCAAAAGGCAGAGCTGTTAAACTTGCATTGATGTTTTCCTGTGCCACAACTCCCCTGTCAGAAGGAATGGACGTGAAAGCAACAGCTGTATTTGGAGGGTACAACAGCACATCTCTGCTTGCTGTTAGTATTTCAGGATCTGGTACAAAAGGCTTTAGCTCCATGAGAGTGTAGCTGCGTTCAGGGACAGCACTCAAGGGAGTCTTCTGCTGTGCTGTTTCTGAGATATCATACAGTGAAGAAAATACAGATAATGAAGGTGTTAGCAACACAGTTTCTAACATTTCTCTTGATGGCTCTACTGTATTAACTGAGTGATGATCTGTTAAAACTGCAAAAGACTTCACGGGAGGAGTCCACTGTGCCTTTGAAAAGGAGCTAATAAATTCATCATCACTTAGGAATGCCTCATTGCTCCTTACAGAGACATCTACCATCGGCGTACTTCTCCCTTCTGAAATCATGGCTGTTTCTTCTTGGCTAAGTAAAGTCCCATCAAAGGAAGTGGTAACTGATGATAAAACTGTTTGAAGCAAATTACTTTCCTGGGACTCCAAAGTACTCCTTGCTAAGGCCGTTTGTGTCCTGCTGCCTGATATGCTTTCATGCACTGTTGAGAAAAAGGAAAAATTCTGCTGTTCCAAGGATCTCTCATCTAAATCAAGAGGGAGAGAAAAACAAAAGCCAAAACACAACAGATTAGCACAAGCAGCAAGATTGCTATGAGCAAATGTCACACAGAATATTTCTGGAGACAACTGCCCAGAATTCAAGGGCGAAGACAAAGTAAGTAAAAATCCTCCACAAGCAATTCAGCACAAACAGTGAGATTTCTTGTGAAACTCCATTCCCTGGAAATGAACAAGACAACCCAAGCTCTTTTCAAAGCACTGATATGTCTCCACAGCAGCACTCCAGTGAGACCTGTGGAAGAGCACAAAATGCCTCCCTCTTACCTGGGCAAGGCTACACTCCATGGCAGCTAGTGGTCTCCCAAAGCAAACACATCAGAAAGGGTAACGAGGAACAATGCAGGGGAAAATCTACATAATTTTAGGTGTTTTACTCTCCTTTAGTATCCCTTAATTTCTTCTGATTTTATTCTTTCTTAATATTAAGGTCACTAGAAGATCTACTCTGTTCATGGACCAGATCCTCCCTCTCATATCAGAAATGAATGACACAAGAGATGAAGAAGAGTTCCCTTTTTCATAGGGCAAATGTATCAACAGGAAGAATTTGCTATCATGTTGTGACATGTCTGTAACATGTTATTTTTACATTGTCCACCATTCATCTGAAGCCTGGCCTGTTAGCAGTCACTGACAAATTGCTTCATTACACAATTGCTATGTTTATTCACAGCCCTCTATAGGATTGCTCTCTTTATAGGCCACCTGTAATAGACCTTTTATTCCTCTAGTTTGCAGAGCTCAAGTAGTAATGGCCAGGTTCAAATACAAAGGAGAAAAAGTTGAGAATTCACCACATATTTCAACAAACAAAATACTCTCCTCTCTCAAAAAGTATTCTTGGGTTACAGAGAAGATCTGTATACAAGCTTTTCCAAGAACAGATGAGTTTGGCAGAGAAAAGGCTGATTACTTTCCTGAAATGTTGAAATTGGATTAATGGCATTCCGAGCTTAATTATTAAGGGAAATCATGGAAAATTGGAGCACAATAGTTTTCAAGGGTACACACAAAGCGTTCATCTTTAAGTTAACTATCATGCCTGATCACCCTATTTTCAAATGGGAGTGTCAGGCAGTGCTGTTGGAACCCACTGGCAACACCCATTAACAAGGCTGGAGGGAGTTAAACCATCCAGTTAAACCACCAGGGACCAGTTTAAAGTAAAAACAAGCATATACATTATAAAGGGCTGGACAAATGATACAGTACACAGTTCAACTGCAAATACATCTGTAACCCTTTAAAGGATGCCTTGAACTCAGTAACTCACAGAAAGTCCTGCAGGAATAGCGCACCTATCTGTTTCCCAGTGTCTAACACCACTTTCCAGAGGTGATAAACTGCTGTTCCTATTCCCTTCTCCCTGGTCTGTCTGCTGAACTCCTTGACACAACTTTTCAAGTGCTGACACACTGATTTGATAAATTTTGAAGGTGCTGATCTGAAAAGTACAACTAGGAGAGTTAATGCTTACCACTGATCACACCTAACTAAGTGAATGCTGTGATTATATCCTTTATTTTACAAATTCCATGCACAAAGTTTTGTAGCATAACAGATACTATTCTCTCAAGCAGTCCCAATCCATTTTTTTCCTCCTCAAACTCACTTGTAGGCATTACCAGCTTTATGATGCTTAGTTGGAGTATGATGATAAAATATACTGCCTTACAATGCTCTCAGGTGAAGAACAAGAAGACAAGAAAAAACACTCTTGCAAAAGCTATGTAAGACAAGTAAACAAGTCCATCCTCAACCTCTTCAGCAGAGGTCAGATGCTTGAACATGACACAGTGCAGAACAGTGCAGCCACCATGGAATAACAGCTTTCACAAGGAGTTAACATGAGTACCAGACAAAGCAGTTTCCAAGAAGCACAGAACCAAAATGTACCCTGACACAGCTCGGCTAGCTGACCAAAAGTTGCTCAACTTTTTTTCATTGCTAGAAGCCTCCCTGGCCTCATTCTTTTCTTTGACTTGCGCTTCCAACCTTTACTTTTCTCTTTGTGACATTCTGTGTAAGCAGGGAGTTACTAAAGGAAGACTTACAAGGGTAGGAACCAAACATTGCCAAAATGAATCACTTCTCTCCCTGCATGCATGTGCATTTCAGTTTAGGCAGCCCTGTAAAATCCTGCCCAGCTTGGTACTTTGGACACCTAACCCATGCTTACAGTGAATTGCACATTGCAGACAAACACGGTAACAGAGAAGGTTGCGCCTTGTTCACCACAGCTTCATGCTGGAAATCTCTGCAGCAGTACACAAGGCAGCTGTGACAGCTCCATAATGAGCATGGTGAATACAGCTGACAGTTAATAGGACCAGACAGAGATGAATACTCATACTAATTAGTAACTGCACTTTTGATCAGGTACCTCCACAAGTCTCTGACTCAAAGCTAGAGGTGATTCAACAATAACAACTCTACTGCCTATCTGTGCCCGTGCTGCACACCATCTTCCTTCACCCACAGAGAGCCACTTTATTTTTGTTCAGCTTGACTGGGGAGCTGGCACATGGCAGGATCCTGCTGGAAGTAAGTAAATGTCACAGAAAAGATGTCCTGAAGAGTTGAGTGCATAACCCTAAGCTGTCCAACAGACATGCAGAACAGGCAAGGCTTTAAATTTTTTCTGACTTTAGAATATGTTTTTAAATTTTTTGGATGGTCTGATAATATTTTTCCTTGAAAGACAAAGGAATAGCAAATAATTATTTCATCACACACTTGTGCCTTGCCTCTTAATGTAAAGAATCTTGCCATTGATGCCAGGAAGGAAAGAACACAAGTTTTGAAATAAATGTTTCATTTTTTGGAAGGAAAACACACGGTGTCTTGAAAAAGTTATAAGGTCTAAGACAAAGCAAGAACACTGTTACCTATGGTAAGTGGAAATGAGAAAAATTCACCTACGCATGCAGGATTTTGAAAAACCCACCACTAAGTTTACAAGTTGATGTTCCAGCCTATTTACTTTGCTCAGCGTTTCAGAAGCAGGGAGCATTAGTGATCCGCCATTAATAATACAAATTAGTGTTTTCTGTCAACTCCACAGAACAGTGCACCACTTGAATAGCGCCTGTCAGGACTGAGCGTGCCTCTCGGGGAGAGCAGATGGGACGCGTGGCAGATGTGTTTGGGAGCAGCCAGACAGCCCACAAAGAGGCAGGAAAAGCAAAGGAGAAAGGGAAGGAGCGGAAGGCACACCATGGCATGACAATCAGCGCAGAGTGGCCGCTCTGGCTGTGCCGTGGGACAAAGGAAGCAGACAGATTGCACATGTTCTGCTGCATCTCAATGCCGCGGCTGCACAAAGCTATTGATGAGCATCAGCGCTGACTTGTTTGTTTGCACAGCTGTCACTGTCGGGTGACTGTTCCCCATTCCCCTTCAGACGGGCTCACATCAGACAAGCCAAACTCCAGCAGGCTGATAACATTATGAAAAAGAATAGATAGCTTAGGGAACAAAGCTGTGATCCCAAGCTACAGCAAAGGCGAGGAAAGGCGAGCACCAGCGGCAGGGGCCACAGGAATCACAGATGGCACCGCTACAATGCCTCAGCTCAGACACCGACACTGGGACATGGGAGGAGCAATAACATAGGAAATCTGCTGGTGGCCTTGCTCTCTGCTGCTCCTGCTGCCCCCCAAAACTAGCTGGTGTCACAAGTAATGAAACCTGTTACTGAAATGAGCAACCCCTGAAACCGCCAAATCCAAAATTACAGAAGCACAGCCCCGCTAAGGTGCGGCAACATGTGAATTTGGGAAGGACAGAAGCTTCTCATGACTGCTGCAGTCCACAGAGTTCTTTGGTGACAAAAATATACCATGTCTGCATGCCAAAAAACTACACAAGTTCATAAACCAGAAACTAGACTACTAATTTTTCCAGACAGCAATTAGAGGGATGCAGATTGCATCCTTCCTGTAGCTGCAGTGCTAAAAAGTAATGTCTGTTCTATAACCTGGAATAAATAAAGGAAAGGATGTTTTAAATATATATTTGTAATATACATGTATATATACATGTATATATACATGTATATATGCATAATACATGTATACTGATAGGCTTTTCTATATTCTTCATTTATAACAAATATACTTCCATGTATTTTTTAAATGCAGGATCCAGATGTAATCTCACCTCTGCACTGATGCCTCAAGTGACTTCAAAAAAGTTGCATCACTTTTCTGCACTCTGCTAATAAGATATGGCAAATGTACACTACCACAATTCTCAGTATTTACTAAAAAGTCAGTAATCTTCCATATTATCAAGGTATTAAATCATAGAGAGGTACAGGCATGACAACAAAGACAGGAAATCTTTCCTTGTAGTAAAAATTAGACCTTAACAATAGAACAAGCAATTTTCATTCTATTATTTTTGAGAAACTAAGTTATGACTAATAAAGTTTGCAAACAACAGAAAATGCCAGCAGACTAGCAGCAAAACAGTTCAAAACATGTATCACTTTAAAAAAAGTCTTCTGTGTACTCACACAATGACCAACAGAATTAAATTTTAATAGCTATGTTTTTAAGGCAAGGAGAAAAATTGCTCTTTTATTGCTGCCCATTGTTTCAAACAGATGCATTTTAGGTAGAAAAGCAATTAATGCTACATGCATTCCAAATATTACGGTAAAATTCCTGACTAAATACGTGACAGGAGCTCCCAAATAATTAAAATTAAAGCTATGAGCTCACTAGGAATATTCACCACTTGAAACATTTATCTGATTATGGGATGGAGCAGCATATCTCATTTAAGAGAAGCTTTTGATAACATATATTTTAACATTTTCTTCAAAAAATAGGAAGTGAATGCAGCATAGGACTCAAGACCACCCAAGGGTAGAAAGAATGATAGAAGCAAATGTATCTGAAAAAAAAAAATCTTAACTCTTCCTCCTACAGCTTAACACTTAATAACTTCCTAATTT